TTCCATGACAAGGATTACAAGATCCAAAAATGGCATTTTCCATCGTACAACCTTACAGTATCCGTTATTTGGTCTCCTTTTCTTGTAAAAGCCGAGACATTTGAAGATAAAAACCAGTCCTCTGAAATACAACTCCACGTTGACGTTCTTGACAAAATCTGGACCCAACAATTTGACACATGGGATTACGTCTTGTTCTCCTCTGGTAAATGGTTTGTAAGAACAGCGATCTACTACGAAAACAATACCATTCTCGGTTGCCATGGCTGTGAGGGAAAGAACTACACTGATCTTGGTTTCAACATTGCTTACCAGAAAGTCGTAAAGAATCTTTTTGATTTCATTATGAATTCAAACAAACAGAGTACGATTATTTTCAGAACATCAACCCCCGATCACTTTGAAAACGGGCCATGGTCAAGTGGCGGGACTTGTGATAGAAGGGTGCCTGCTAAAGAAGGTGAGTTTGAGTTGGGAATATTTAATAGAATCCTACGAGAGGTTGAATTGCCTGAATTTGCAAAAGCAAAAGCTCGAGCTTCTGAAAAAGGGAAGAAATTGAAGCTTCTTGATGTGATGCCTCTTTCGTTGGTGAGACCAGATGGGCATCCAGGTGCATATAGATATTTTTACCCTTTTGCAAAAGATAAGAAAGCTAAAGTTCAGTATGATTGTTTGCATTGGTGTTTGCCTGGGCCGATTGATCAGTGGAATGATTTGTTGTTGAAGTTAGTGGTAGATGATTGATGTAATGGCTTGTGAATAGTGTTTAGAACTCCATTGGTATCCCTTTTGATGTTTTTTAACCTCTTGTAACCTTATAAGAATATGTTGTTTCCACCGATTCGTAGGGTTTAGAGGTGTAGACAAAAAAAAAATCATATCATTCCAATGGAGTATTTGTGATGGATGTTTCTCATTTGTTTATTTCATTTTCTTCGATTTATTTATGAATCCCACTCTTGGGTTGAGTATGGTTTGGTTTTTTGCCAAAAACCAAAATCAAATATAAAGAATCCAGTATCTAGCCTATAAAAATTGAGTTCGTTCATGGTTGGAAATAGGGATGTCAAAAAGTCCCGTGGATCCCGTTCCCATGGGGGCCCGTCCTGTTTGGGAGAGATTTTTAAAAAATATCGGGGGTCGGGACGGGGACGGGGGCGGTGACAAGGTTAACCCCTGTTTTAATTTCGGTAGCGGGGGCAGAGGTAGCCAATCTCGTCCCGAAACCCTCATGGGGATCCCGTTAATAAATTACACATATATTTACATATATTAATTATATTAATATAATAAACAATAACATGATTTTGACCTTTTAAAATTCATCAAAAACATGTTTTTAAGTTGTTAGTATAATGTTTTTAAGATGTCATAACTTTTTTTATTTTTAACATATAAAATTTTGCTATAAATAAGTATTTGTTTATTAAAAAATAGTTTCTTTTAGCCTAAATAACAACTTCTTTTAATAAAAAAAAACAAAAAAGGCAACCCAAAATCAATCGGGGGCGGGGAAACGGGGCGGGGGTAGGAGTAATAAAGGGGATTCGGGGGCGGGGCGGGGGTAGCGAGACTGAACATTTCGGGGGCAGGGGCGGTGACAAGGGAACGAGAAAATTTCAGAAGCAAGGGCGGGGGATGCACTCCCCGTCCCGTTTGCCCCTCGTTAACATCCCTAATTGGAAACATTAGCATGAATCATTTTTTTTTTTCCCTTTTTCTTCTTATTTTTTCCAATAAATAAACTTAAAAGTAATAATCTTTTCTCAGTCTTCCCATTTTTTTTCTTTTCTGTCCTTAGAGTCATTAGACTCTGGAGCATAGAGTTTGAGTTATATTACATAAGTCTTTATCCACAATATTTAAGTAAGAAAACTCATACATTTTAAATTTATCTTCATTTAATAAATATTATACATAAATTGAGTTGAAGGAAATTAACTTATTAAGGTATTTAAAATTTCAATTTGTTTACATCCAAGTAACTACTTTTTTTTTTTACACATTTAGGTAGCGAACTTTTTAGAAGTGTTTACATATGATCATTGTAACCGGTTGTAACATGTTACATCCGGTCATCTTGATCATATACGAATACTTCCAAAAAGTTCGTTATCTAGATGTGTATAAAAAAAAGTAGTTATCCAGATGTGAACAAACCGAAAAATTAAGAGTAAATTACATGATCGATCCTTGTGGTTTTGGGTAATTTGTGCGTTTGGTCCCTAACTTATTTTTTTAATTCGGATGGTTATTATTGTTTATTTTTGTTACGTACTTGATCTCTGTCGTTTTAAAAAAAAACTATTATGCCCTTATTAATATATTTTTAATTAATTTTCTTATTTATATATTTATTTTTTTATATATCTAAAAAAATTAATAAACTTCATATATTTGTATCTCATCACCCTAATCCTAAAACTACATTTGAAATTTTTAATATGGGTCCCACAAGTTACCACCCCATCTTTCATTCTCCTCAACTTTTATTTCTTTTTCGTCTTTAGGGCAGCGACGCCTTTAGTGTCCATTTTTTTTTTTGTCCTTCAACTCCAGCGAACCAACTCCACAACCTATTGTCTCTTCATCGAATTTTCCATCACTACAATCCAATGCATCACAATCCTTGTAGAAAAAGACAACTGATACCAAAAAAAAATAAATTAAGAACCACATTAAGTGAAAACTGTAACTTGAAATGCAAATCAAAACCTAAAACTTTATTAACAACATTGTAAGCTTTAACTCATCAAACAATGTGTATTCTTAGATATTATTGGTCTCCATTTATGATCATTTTAGTCTCTAGTAAATTTAAATTTTTATATTTAATATCTTAAACAATAAAATTCTATAAAACGATGATGCTTTTTTCCATGTCCAATCTTTTTTTTTTTTTTTTTTTTTTTTTTTTTTTTTTTTGAGTTACCAAAGTAGTGTATTTTAAAAAGATATTTACCAAAATGATGTGGTTTTAAAAATATTTATCATTTAGGTAACTATTTTTTTTATACACATTCAGGTAACGAAAATTTTGGAAGTGTTTACATGACCATTATGACTAGATGTAACTTGCTAAAGCCGGTCATAATGGTCATATACGAACATTTCCAAAAAGTTTGTTACCTAGATGTTTATAAAAAAATAGTTATCCAGATGTAAACAAACAGAAAAATTAATTACATTAATAAGTCAGTTTCCCTTAAGTTGAAGGGTCGACTGAGTCATTTTATAATTAGAGTTAAAATCAACAATTAAAAACACATTTTTTTATGTGATTAGGTTATTTTTGGTCATTTAACTTTTGGTTGTGTATTCATTTGGTCACTTAACTCATTTTAAGTTTTAAAATGTTATCGAATATGAAAATTTGTGTTAAAAATGGTCATGAAACATTTTTGTTGACACTTAATTTTTGACTTTGTGTTCACTTGGTTATCTTTAAAAGTTTTTTATAGGGTAAATGTCACTGTAACACAATCCACTATCATCATTATCCGATTTGGCCACTAAAGTATTTTTTTACGCAATAAGTCATTAAACTTACAACTTACCTGTCTATTAAGTCATTTTCGCTAATATTTAACGAATCCCCCATTAACTAGTTATTTTAAATTACAAGAATGATCACTATGGTTTTAATATCTTTCATGGTTGGTTCTCACGAACACCGTTCATCACCGGCAACACCACCGTTCATTTCCAGCAGCAACCACCTTTCAACTCCGGCTAAAATCGAAATTCCCCACCGTATTTGAAAACCGATATAATTTGTTTCATCTTAAACCCCTTTTCGAAACATCATTGATCTGTTTATAACATAGATACATATAAAATCATAACATTATAGTACAGTCGATTATTTTTTATTCTGTGTGATTTTTAATCCGGTTTGAATGATTGCATTTTAAATGTCCTTATTTTTCAATTGTAATGTCGATCGATTTCCAAAATGAGATATCAAGGAATGTAAATAATTTGACGTTAGATGCGATAAGTGCCATTTTTGCAACTGTACTTATGTACCAAATTACATACGGGGTATTTTAAGCCTCTTTTTAAGAAATTACTCATATTAAAATTAACTCACACTACTTCCGTTTCTTTGCTCATACTTCCTTAATAAAAAGCTCATGTCTTTACAATTAACCTTTTAATTCCCTTTAAATTTCCATCATAAATTTCATATATTCTAAAAAATATTTGTATGTTATATGTCTTCATGTTTGCTATAATGACTAATAAAATAGTGTTTCAAGTTCCAACATTATTATTAGGGTTGTAAATAAACTGAACGTTCCGCAAACAGTTTATGAACCGTTTAGCGGGAAGTTCGTTTATTTAATAAATGAATGAACACGAACATAAATTCTCGTTTTTTAGTTAAACGAACGTACATGAACAATGACTTCGTTAGTTCAGTTATGTTCGTGAACATTCGTTTATGTTGTCCATTTAAATTTGTTTATGTTTATTCATATAAGTTCATTTTATATTCATATATGCTTAATCGTGTATGATAACATTACTATATTATATGTTCATTTATGTTCATATATGTTTAATTATGTTTTTTTTTTTATCTTCGTTCGTTTACGTTCGTTCGTTTAACTTATTCACGAATATGAACAGTGTAATTTGTTAAACGAACGAACATGAACAAGAAAACTCGTTCATTTATCTGTTCGTGTTCGTTAATTTGTTCGGCTAACTTAAATGAGCAAACATGAACAAGCCCCCGTTTGTGTTCTTTCGGTTCGTTTACAACCCTAATTATTATCACAAAACTTGATTTAGGCATAATATCTCACCACGATGTGCTAGAGTGTAGTGCATGGCTAATGAAAGACACCGATCCATTGGGCGCCATGACGTGGCAAGGAGGGTACCACAATGTGGGGAGAGTTTCTGTAACATCTGCATATTCGGGCTAGTAAGTTAAGATATCACAAGCGTTAAAAATATTTTTTTATAGAAGATTATCTAGGATAAATAATCTTAACCAAAGTAATAGTTAGGGTCAACAATTGTAACCTATTTGACGTAATAAAGAAAGATTATATGAATATTATATTTTTCATGATTATATATATATATATATATATATATATATATATATATATATATATATATATATATATATATATATATATATATATAGAAAGTACACGTCTTCCTGACCCGAAAACATAAATTTCGTAGAAATCCGACTCCGTATGAAGTAGATATGATTTTTTATAAGATATAAAAGTCAATCGTGTACAACGAATGTATGACCTAAAAAGTTATGAAAAGTATGGTTAAATTTTAGCTAAAGACACCAAAAAAAATCGTAGTACTCTTTAAAATATGAATTTTGATAAAAAGAATGTCAAAACGGATTTCAAACAAGAGAGTTATGATTTTAGCAAAATCATTTAATTTTATAAAATATGGACAGTAAAATAAATTCAAAAGTAGCCGATGGAGTCTAAACGAAAGTTGTAGATCTCATCGATAACTAAGCGTGGGTATAAAGAATGTCAAAAACAGAGTGCGTATGAACAAGTTATAATTTGTAAAAGCATATTTATGTATTAAAATAAAGTATAAATCATATATATATATATATATATATATATATATATATATATATATATATATATATATATATATCATTAGAAAGGTATCGACGATGCGGTCGTTATAAGACTAGTGTTGGGTACTTTCAACATTAGTTTAGTAGAAACTAATGTTGAAAG